TCTGAATGTTTCATCTGAACTAAAATCTTCATATCTTTTACTTGAAGAAATATCAGTGGAACTTCAGCTCCTCATGAAAACCTGTAGACGTCTGAATCAATAAGGAAAATTTTATGTTTTCCTATTTATCTATATGTCCTTTAGCATCACTTGGTAGTTCTGTACTACTGAGCTTCCCAAAGCTCACTCTTTTACTCTCCATTTCAGGTTAAAGAATTAATCCAGCTCAACTATCAACATCTGTAATGGAGTTTCTTTGGCTTGGGAGGAAGAGTATGGTACAAGTGTAATTAGAGGGCATGTAGGTCACATTTGATTTTTATACTAAGTATAAATGGTTTTTCTGAACTTGAATTTTAATTATAAATTGTTTTATGACTTTACGTATTTTAACAAAAAAATTAAATTTTTCTGGGATTTTTATTGCGGTTCATTTCAGTGGCTCTAATGTGACACCTCAGATCGGATCGGGTAACCCGCATCGGTCTGTGGGTGTTACATTTAGTGGTATCAGAGCTTAGGTAGAGTCGAGTCTTCTTGGTTGATCGGTCGATCGACTGTCATAGGAAGTCTGTTCTGTATATGCCCCTAGATTTTGACCGTACTCTTCTAAGCTGGAACTCTGATGTCAAGTCACATTCTAAAATATCTAAGTATCCTTATCGTTAAGGTTCGATCTATGAAGGAAAAGAATGTCATTAACATTTTTCCAGATTTTGAAAATTGCCTTGCAAGTAACGTAACAATTACTTGTTCAAAATTTTTTGACTCGACTTTCGACTCGAAAATGAGTTTTGCTACTCCCCAAACATTCTGTGATGATAAACTCATAGCCAAACTTTATAAGTAACATTTCGATATTAAGAATTGCTACCCAAGTGGATTGAAGAGTGTGATTTTGGTCTAAGATGTGATAAGGTGTTTTCCCCGCTAAAGTTCTGCGATGATGTACAGAATTAAAGAATTTTTAAAATCATTTTTTTTTAATTTTATGAGTTTCAAACCCAATAGGTTCCGAGCCATGTACCTTAATGATTTGACCTATGTATTAAAGTAAATATTTGAATACTTGGGAAAAGTGCAAATCTCGAAGTGATGTTGCTCGTACAAAAGAAAATAATTTTGTCTACATTTTGCACTGAATGTAAGCAAGTATTATTCTTATTAAGGATTGATAATTAAGGTATGTTTGGTTCTACGAGGAGAATTTTGTTCAAGTTTTTTAATTCTAATAAAGAAGAGTTTGTCAATGACATTTATTCAGTTGGTTAAAGTCTAGTAGAGGAATTGTAATCCTGTAAAAGCTACATGAAGATATTAAAGAATTGAGGAAAGTTTCATTTCTACGTTTAAGTGACTTGGGTGAATTTCGAGGATAAAATTCTTTTAGGGAAGAGAATTGTCACACCCTAAATTTTGATTTAAAATAATAATTTATTTAATTTAATTAAGGGGCCAAAATATATGATTTTAAGTTTTAGGGGTAACTTTGCATACTTTTAATAGTTTAGGGCCTTAAGCCCAGATAAACCGACTTATTATGACCACATATGATAAAAGTCTAGTGAAATAAATGTTGGCTATTAGGATTTGAACCCATGATCAACAATATAAAAGGCCATGCCTCTACCAACTAGTCTAGGCCATTGTTGGTGTATAAAATAACTAAAATATATTTTGATGAAATCTGGCTTGGTTTTAACCCATAACTATTTTCCCCAGATTAGATTGCAAAAACCCCAAAACTAAAATCCAAATATTTCATGTTTACCCACTCGTCGCTCCTCACTGTCGAGCAACTACTGACATTTAGAGGGATTTTTTTAAATAAATATTGATACTTATGATATGGTGTTCGATTCTTTAGCATTTGAAAAAGTTGATAAATGTTAAAATATCGATACTTTTGCTTTGATATTCGATACTAGTTCATTTGAAAAAATTGTTCAAGTTAAGATCGAGAGTTAAAATACTTGAGTTTTAAACTTTTTACATAAAATGTATGCGAATAAGTTTAAAAATTAAAATATCAAAAGTTAAAATATTGATACATACGCAATACGAGTGATATAATTATGAGGATTCAAGTTTCTAAGAGATTCTTATGCCAATATCAGTGCTAGAAGATCAACTCATATTTTTCCTTTCATGAGGCGCATAACTTCTAACACTGATATTAGCATAAAGATTTCTAAGGAAGTTGGCTAAAACAAAATGACACTGAGCAGGGAAAGCCCCACCAAAAACATTGGGCTCAAGTTTTATGCCACTAGAAGAAGATTCCTTATAAATCTCATACAAAAGCTTGAGATCCATGCAAAAGCTTGAGATCATAATCTCAAGCTTTTGTATGAGATTTATAAAGCATCATCTTCTGTTCAGAATAAGGTGGCATTGACATGAAAAATAGAGAAAAATCTTAACAATCCATAACAAATGAGGGGAGGAAACTCCTATTTATAGATGAACTCCCTCACATCAAAAACCTAGTTTGTACACGGTTACTCCTACTTATAATGTAACCGTTAACGTTACTCCTACTTGTAATGTAACTGTTAACTTTACTCTTACTTATAAAGTAATCTTTTCGCATCCGTTAACATTACTCCTACTTATAAGGTAATCGGTTAAAAATAACAAGACACAATAGTTAACGTTACTCCTACTTATAAGGTAACCGGTAAAAACAAAACAAGGCGTAACCGTAAACGTTACTCCTACTTATAAGGTAACCAGTAAAAAATAACAAGGCATAAATGTTAATGTTAATCCTACTTAAAAGGTAACCGATAAAAAACAAAAAAAAGACGCAACCGTAAACGTTACTCCTACTTATAAGGTAACCAGTTAAAAATAACAAGGCGAAGCCTATAACATTACTCCTACTTATAAGGTAACCGGTAAAAAAAGGCACAACCGTAAACGTTACTCCTACTTATAAGGTAACTGGTTAGAAATAAAAAGTCGAAACCTATAATGTTACTCCTACTTATAAGGTAACTGGTAAAAAATAAAATAAGGCACAACCGTAAACGTTACTCATTCTTTTAAGGTAACTGGTTAAAAATAACAAGGCACAATCTATGTTACTCAAGAATGTTAACTTAACCATTTTCTAGACAAGTATGAATACTTGTATAGATGTATCGATATCTACCGATAACATAAGTTTACTGATTATCAAATTTTTAAATATTTTTTATGTTTTCAACCTATAATATTATGATTAGGTCAATATTTCTTGCCGCGCTTAACTGAGTTTATTAAGTTTCTTATTAAATTTTCGGTCAAGCCGTTTTTTAGTCTTATATTAATATGTCTTTCCTCTCAAAACAATTTAAATAACTCATCACATATAGTTCAAGATTAATCATTCACAATGTCCCATGCATGTGGATAGATTTTACTTAATGTTATAGATATCAATATATAACATATGCAAAAAAAATTGAAATTAAAATGAATAATCACCATTGAGATAAATTATTATTATTATTATTATTATTATTTTGAATAATTTAAAGTGATTATAAGGTAATATATATTCAGATAACATTGTAGACGTAATTGTTCGAATCTGAATCATCTAAGAAGAAAAATATTTTTTTTACTATTGATATCAGTTACTAATTTTGACAGATATAGTTAATAACAAGTGTTGGGAATCATGATTTACAACTCACGAGAATATGAGATCGGAGGAAGAGGAGCAGGAAACCTCGAAACAAGAAATCTTGGAGAAAGGTAGGAAGGCCCAATTTACTGGTGGCGACAGTGATCGCAACCGTAACATTTGCGGCCGCATTCACGATGCCTAGTGGATATTGAGTGGAGACGAAGCTTTCCAAGCCTTCATCGTGACATATACGGTGACGTTTGTTTCCTCTCTCTTAGCAATCTTCGTCTACTTTCTGTATTCATCGATTATTAGCGTCCTTTTTTTCTTTCAGATCATTGACTTTTAGTTTAGCTATTATATTTTATTTGAAAAAGATAAATATTAAAATCATCCATAATTTTTATTAAATGTATAATAAAATATATAAATTTTGATTTTATTTAATATTATATATATTTTTTTATAATTCAACACATCATTTTATAATTATATATTATATATGGAGATAATTATAACTTTGAGTTGGCCTTGAATTTTTGGATTTTATGCCACCCAATGTTACTTTCTTAGGCAAATTCAACGACCTTTGTAAGTGAGGATAATGCGTTATAGTTGAGGAATATTCAAACCAACCAAAGTATATGATTTTATTTTAATAGTGTTAAATGATTATAAGATAATATATGTTCATATTTTTTTTAATCAATTGATAATGTACGCACCATTTAGACACACCAACTAGTTGAACCCAAAATATATAAACTTTGATTTTATGTAATATTATATATACATTTTTATAATTCAACGCATCATTTTATATTTACATATTATATATATATAATCATAATTTTTTTAATGAATTCCTATAATGCATGTATGTATTGTTGTTAAAACCCAAGGCAATAGAAGTAACATATACAACTTCATGCTGTTTGAAATTTATGTTTTATTTACACATCAAAATTGAACATGCTCTAATCATGTTAAAATTTATGGGTAATTTAAATAATAACATATTATAACTTTGTACAATGACTCTCCATACGGGCATCGACATCAATTAAATTATGAATTAACAAAATAAAAAAAGTAGACAAATTACCCTAAAGCTGAAGCTATATAATGGCAAATCGACCTTAAAAACCCCGAACCTACCCAGTACTCATCCTATAGATAAAACCCTAACCATCTTTTATTAAACAATTATTTTCGGACCATTTTGAAGAAAACTACCTTCTTCAAGCTTCAAGCTTCAAGCTTCAAGCTTCAAGCTTCAAGCTTCAAGCTTCAAGCTTCAAGCTTCAAGCTTCAAGCTTCAAGCTTCAAGCTTCTGCAGGGGCTTTCCCAAGGCAGGTGAGTCGGTGCCATGACTCCAAAGCGATTTCAACTCTCCTCTTATCAAGCCTAATATAACTATAACTACTGAAAATGAATTTTTTTAAAAAAAAATCAGGAGGATGAAAGGGAAGAAAAAAAGAGTTTTTATACATAATGACCAAAAAAGCCTTAATGTTTGTCAGTTATTTCAATTGCACCCTTAAAAATATTTTAAAGATATTTTTCAAATAAATACTATTTGAATGAGCGATTGAGAATCAACTAAAGTTCAACATTTTTACTGACATGACGACTTTTTAAGGACTCAATAGAAAGTTTTTTTTTTAATAAAGTACACAAATGGTTCTTCGATTAAAGGGTGATGTTTTGTTGAGTCTCTTGTCTATTAAAAATTACAAAATGATCATTTGACTATAGGGTGTCGCTTTGTTGAGTCTCTTGACTATTAAAAATACAAAATGGTCACTCGATTATTTAGTATGTTCTAAACTCGTCATTTCCCGTTAAAACATTAACGGCAGTTTAAGCTGGATGTTAACCTGATGACTGATATATGATAAAATTTGATCTTATAATCTAAAAAATATCATATTTTAGTCAACAAGTAAACATTCAGCTCAGACTGTGTCAATTTTTTAACGGAAAATGACGAGTTTGGAACATATTAAATAGTCGGGTGACCATTTTGTAACTTTTAATAGTCGAGGGACTCAACAAAGAAACACACTCTAATCAAAGGACCATTTTGTAACTTTTAATAATCGAGGGACTCAACAAAGCATCAACCTATAGTCGGGAAACCATTTGTGTACTTTACCCAAGTTTTTTCTACTATTATGTAACGGATATAGCATCCTTTTAGACAAGCAAGATAAAAGTAGTAGCGAGTGAACGTGGAATGGTGAACTTCAGTTACCTAGCGTGCAAGGAACAAGATAGAGGAGTGCAGGCTGACCGTTCCCATTCATCAGATATAACCCTATGTATGTAAAAAAGAGGCCTGTAATATATGAGAATTGAAGCAAATAAGTACTGCCATTTTGTTGATATCAAACTCTTCTCTTTAATAACTTTTCAACAAATGGAAAATACAAGAATATACAGTTAAATATAAGTACATGATTTGAGTATTGTTGGTCCGGGGACTTGCATTAGCACCGGATCATAAAAGTTTGCCATGATTTGAAATCAAGATCATAAATGCTAGGTAAAAGCATCATTGAAGACATTTGCAGATAAAAAAGCATCATTGAAGACATTTGCAGATAAAATTAACCAAACTTAAGGCGGTATGAAACTACTATAGACGAGCTATGTCACAGAAAAGGAAATGCGCACACACCAAGAGTAAAGAAAGAAAAAGAATAGCTTAACAAACTATGGCATGTGCAGACTCACCAAATCCATAACCAACCATCAGCCACAGAAAATACCCATTGACTAGACTCTTCTTGTATTCTCTATCATATCTGAGACAACCAAAGAGAACAAAATAATCATAAATCCGTATAAAACAATAATATTGAGAACCCTTCAAAACCAAGGGCATTTAGAAAGGAAACAAATCATCTGCAGTTTAACGCCAAAACAGGTCCCAAATACTGGATCAGTCCAATCTAACCTAATTAACAGTGTTACTAAATTTATAAGATGTATGGAAAATGCAGAGTTTCCTGCCTCGAGTAATGTTCACTCAACACTAGATATTCTTTAATATTTCCTTATTCTGGTCTAGTCAATACTAAATATGGTCTAGTCAATATTCCAAGTGTTAGCATTAGGAATTTCTTTATTCTGGAGTAGTCCTTTGGCAAGCTCTAGTGAAGCAACAATGTAATGAACTCCATAGTTTTAGAGGTCAAAAATTATAACAAGTTCAAATGGACACAACATTTCACCTATTCTAATGCACCCTAACTATATCTGAGTCTTAAGAACATAAGAGAAAATAACAACAAAGAAACTGGAATATACACTACAATGCTGACTCACATGTTTCTTCTTTTCTTCTTCCGTTTTCTATGCTACCTTTTAGGGAAGCCATACAGCAAATCAAAAATGAAAGGAAAAAAGGGCCTTTTAATACCTGTAAGCAAACGTAATAAGCAAACCAGGAAAAAGAATGTCCCCAAATCCACCCCAAGGATCAACAAGTCTTGGAACTCTCAAGAGCAAGGGTATTATGCTTCTCCGCCAGAATTCTTTCCTTTAGCTACCTATTAACATGAGCAAAATGTTAGATTCAAAGCTGATCCTTGGACGGTGAACTTATATTACAAGTCCTTATTTTTGGTTGCCTGAATGTTTAGTGCACTTAAAAAAAGAAAGAAAAAAATCCAACTTGGCATATGAATTTTGGACTTGCCATGTGTCAAGACCACTTCCATTGAAATGAATTGTGGGTAAAGAGCATGATCTTACATTTTACCAAGTATAAACGACTGTCAAATTCTACAATATATAAAAAAAAATATCATGCAGCTAGATTGATCTACCAATTGAACCAGTTTACATATAAAGTAACCCCTCAAACGCTATTGATTTTTTTATGCGGTATCTTAGTCTTCTTGACCTAACAGTTGATAGTGCAAATCCAAATAAGCCATCTACTAATAAATAAATCTCAGCACGTCATGATAGCTTGGCCGACACTTCATACTGCTCGACAACAAGGATATTTGAGGTTAAAATTTTGTTCAGGCCTTCACCAAATACCACAGGCAAAAGAGTTATTTTACAGGAAAGATATCTGAAGGCTCGGAAGGGGGACTGTTGAGTCTTTGGGATGAAAATATTTTCGAGGTTCAAGACAAGTTCATTCATAGCAGAATCATATCCATTTGGGGAGAAGTTAAGGAGAAGATGCAGTGCTGCTTTATTAATGTATACGGGCCAGCAGTCGATACTGAAAAGGAGATTTTTTTTTGGAGAATTACTTGCTTTTATAGGACAGCTTGGCTGCCCACTTTGTCTGGGAGGCGACTTCAATGCCTATTTATCATTCGAGGAAAAGGAAGGAAGATCTCAAAATTTGCAGACTATAAGGATTTTCAGAGAGTTTGTCCAGCAAGCAAATTTAGTAGATTTGCCCCTATCGGGAGGACGCTTTATGTGGTGCAATAATAGGTCAGTGGCTACGGTAGTAAGGCTGAATCGCTTCAGGTTGGACTCCTATCAGACCACAATGCAATCCTGGTTGAAAACAGTGGGGTTAATTGGAGTCCAAAACCCTTTAAACTGTTCAGCTATATGTTGGAGGAAGATGGTTTCGTTGAAATGATGGAGAAGGAAATTAAGAAGCTGAAGAAGGGAAAGAGGAGGAGGGGCATTGTCAGCATTTTAAAAGAGTCTAAGGCGGCTATCAAGAGATGGTCGGGCGATAAGCACCTTAAATTGCCTGGTCGAATTTCAGACTTAGAAAAGTCCATCCATGACATGGAATTAGCAATACAGCAGGGGTCATCTTCCACTTCTTTGGAGTCATTGGCAAAGGTTAAAAAACCGGAACTTTAAGCCTAGATTTAGGTAGGGGTGTTCATTCCGTTAAAACGTTGGTTGATTGAACCGAAATACCCTTAATCGAATTAACTGAATTTTTTTCTTTAACCGTTAATCGAACCAAACTTTTTTTAAGTATTAACCGAACCGAATAAATTTCGGTTAATTCGATTAATTTTTGAATTAACAGAAATTTTTTAGAATTTTCTAATTTAATTTTTTTAATTTAAAAAACAGTTTACAATTAATTTAAATAATATCTAATTATAAATAATATCTAATTAATTTGATTCAAACATTATATTAAAATAAGATATTTGTATCTATCAATTTAATTAAAAAAACCAACAAATTTGAAATTCTACAAAATAAATGGAGCATGGTGTTGGTGCATGAAGGTTGTGCTAACTGCTAAGTTGTTGACTGCTGCTACCATACCAACCAAGATGTTCTCTATCAAGTGCAGAACAATTCATATCTTAAGAGAACATATTACCTGCACAGTGCACAACATAGAAATAAAGAGATGCAAAATTCAGTTTGAACCAACAAAAACAATAAAAACAATCAAATGTATAAATATCAAATATATCTATTAAGAATCAACCAATGCTAAAATTATAAGTGCTAAGCTAACTCAATCTTATGTAATACAATTTTATTCATATATGAATGTACTAAACATCATCACTTCATCAGAGTTTTGCTAACTAGTAACTACTCCAGCTAATGAAATTGAAAGGAATGTAAAAAAATTACCACAAAAAACAGTATTCAAAATACTCCATTTGCACCAATTGAATCCTCCCAAAAAGTTTCCATTTGCATTATCCCTATAAGAAAAAATATATTATTTTAAAACTAAAAATACAACAGAAAAAACAATATATATAAACTAAAAAGTACATTGCAATTTACAAGTATCTATTAAGAAAAAATTGCATACCCTTCAACTCATACTCACAGTGCATAAGCTTACTAGCTCATGAATTGAGGGTAGGCTGTAATGAATTCCACGATAAATCTAAAAGTTCAAATGATTAAATCAATTAATGGTGTTTCAATTTTCCTCAAAATAAATTCACTTATTAAATTAAAATTAATAAATAAAGAATCAATATACCATTATCAATCTTGTCAAGCTCTTGAATTTGTTCTTCAAACTTCTTGATCTCATCTTCGATTGATGAATTTTTAATATAATCTTGAGTACACACAAGAGCTTGTACCATTTTAGGAGTTAAATAACTCCTAAATTGATCAAGCACATGTCCACCAGTACTAAATGCAGACTCTCAAGCGACGGTAGAAAGCGGCATAGCTAATACATCTTTGGCCATTTTTGACAGAACTGGAAATCTAGGGCTAATGACTTTCCACCATGAAAAGATATCAAATTCATCATCATAATTTTCAATAGCCTCCCCTAGATATTAATCTAATTCAGATGTTTGATCTTCACCAGCAGTTTCAATCGCACGCCTTTTATACAAATCTTTCATGCGTCTTTTCACTTTTTGTTGTGGTTCACTTAAAGCAATTCTCACATTTAAATGGCTGCCATCACTAGAGACTCGAGGCTTATACTCATCATATAATTCATTCAAAGTCTCTTTCAGCTTTTGCATCACTTCAAAACTTTTTTTCGAATCATACATCTCACTAACTACAAATTCAAGATAACTTAATTTCTGCCTAGGATCTAAAACACAACCAAAAAAAACAAGCATATTCTTCTTCTCAATATCACCCCAATATTTTTCAAATTTATCTTTCATCCTCATGGCCATAACACTAAATTCAACATTAGCACTTAATTGAGCATCCCTTAAAAGTATACAAATTTCAGTAAGTTCATAAAAAAATTGTTAGATGTGACATATGAAGTACCTGAAACTCGCAAAGTGACTTCATAAAAATGTTCCAAGAAATCCCTCAAGTTTCTAACACAAGTCCAATCATTTATAGTTGGCCAGGCCTCTCCTAACTCAAGTTCAGCCCTAAAAGTTGTATATTCCTCCTCAAATCTCTCAAAAGCTCTCTCAAATTTTTCAGCAATGTCTAACATTAAATAGGTAGAGTTTCACCTAGTACAAACATCAAGACATAACATTTTTTGCTCTCAAATTTTCCATCTCAACACACTCCATGAACTTTTTTAATCTAGCTGGAGATTGTCTCACATATTTCACAGCCCCCTAACACGTGCAACAAATTTGTTCATTTTCTTTAAACCTTTAACAACAATCAAATTCATAATATGTGCAATCTTAGATGAAGATATTTACCATTTTCAATGCAACCCCCTCGAGGACTAAATCTCTTTCTTAAATAACCAATAGCAACATAATTCGAAGTTACATTATAAACGGTGACAGTAAACAACTTATCAATCCCCCAATCTAATAAGCATTTCTCAATCACCAGCCCAATTGCATCTCCCTTATGATTAGAAATTAGATAAAAACTTATGATTTTCTTATTCAATTTCCAATCGTTATCAATAAAGTGCACAGTGAGACACATATAATTAACTCTTTGTATAGAGGTCCATGTATCAGTAGTTAAATAAACTCTAGAACATGAACTTCTTAAATATTGTTTCAGCTTACTCCTTTCATCCAAGTACAACTGATAAATATCTCTAGTTATAGTCAATCTTGAAGGAATACGAAACTTGGGGCATGCTACAGACATAAATTTTCTAAATCCTTCACTCTCAACAAACTTGAAAGGCAATTCATCAGTCACAATCATCTGGACTAAAACTTTTTTAGTTGTTTCTTGATCAAATTTCCAAGTTGTAAGATGTCATACTTCACCTCGAAGATCCTTACTAGGTAACACTAAATTGCCTTGATTAGTGCCAATGTTGATAGGATTTTTCTTACACTGTTTCATATGATATATAAATGACCCAGCTCCATTTTTTCCTATCACAACAAAATTCTTTCTCACAATGATTGAATCTACTCTTACTTTCACCCTTACTATTAAAAACTTAGTAAAATGAGAACATACTTCTGACCTTAAAGGAATAGCTTTTCATTTACTTGCAGTCCCTCTTGTGTTGTTAACTTGACTTGAAGCTTCAGTCGTTGAATTTGTAGAATTT